TCAAACTTCAGCTGTTTTTTGACTGTAGCTTTTTCTTAGAGCAAGAAAACCCACTCTCTCCCCCTGCCCCCCTCTGCTTTCCAGTATCACAAGGAGTTGCAGGGATTCTACTTAAACTTTCCGAAAACAAATTATTTTTCAGGCAGCAAGAGAGCCTGGAAAATAAGCCCCAAAAGAGGTGACTGTTTCCACATACGGACTATGTGGAAAATAGGGTTCTAATGGAAACAGGTTTTGTAACCTTAGTTCTAGTTGGCACGGCCAGCACCTACTGTAATAAAATTCCTCCCCTTTTTCTGAAGCTTTCAGTATAATTTGAAGAATGCAGAAGAGCATTTTGTAAGACAGCCGTGCTCTCAGAGCAGCGATCGCTTGTAATTCCTCAAATTACACCATGAAAGTACAGAGACAGCTAATGTAAGCAATAACCTTTCACAAGCTGTCACTGCTCTGAGAGCATTGTTGTTCCACAGTACTGACATGCGCATATTATCACCATAGTATCTGAGCAGCTTGACCACCAATGGATTTATTCTCATGACACCTCTGTGGCAGGGAAATATCCCCATTTTACAGATGGGGAAACTTGAGGCATAGTGTGCCTGTGGCAGGGCTGGAATCTGGACTTTAAGGGTCTCCTGAACCCCATCTCAGTGCCCTAACCAAAAGACCATTGTTCCTCCATAGCTGCTTTCTCATCACTCCCATGAGAAACAGACTACTTGGGTGACCATTGCAGAGAAAAGCTTTTGGTTGAGGGAAGAAAATAATGGCTGTGAACATAGACTTGTGCCGGACGATACTGGGGGAGGCACAATGTGAAGGGAGGGCCATGTGACTGCTCCACCTGTTGCCTCTGGGAGGAACCTTCCAGCCCCACCTCCCTGGGCCAGGGCAGCCAGTCCTGCCGGCTGCTGGGAGGCTGGGGCCACAGGATCGGGAGCATGTGCCTCTGGGCTGGGCTGGGCTGGGCCGGCCTCGGCCCGACTCACAGCATCAGTGTCTCTCTGGAGTTCCCACGCGCTCGCGGACACCGCAACAGGGGGAGGGGCATGGGCAAGGCTCCTGCCTCTGGCTGAACAAAGGGACCTTGCTCCAAGCACCTTCCCCAGTGACCCTCCTGCCCTGAGCTGGGCCTGGCCCAGGGCTGCTGCATGGGCCCCTCTCTCCTCCTGCTGCGCCTCTCTCCTCCCCTCTCCCCTGGCACTTCCAGCTCCCTGGGCCTGGGTGGGCGGGGCGGAGGCGCTTCTCAGGCTGGCTCACTGTGCTCCGTACCACTTGCCGAGAGGCAGTGGCTAGATGGACAGAAGAACTCTGTCTACAGTGGGGATTAGATTAGTTTAACCATGTCACTCAGGGTGTGGAACTTTCATACCCCTGAGCTATGTAGTCTTAACATTTTAGTGTGGACCTGGCCTCTGTCAAAAACAAACCAATGTTCATATGGTAAGGCCTCAATCCTGCATTGCAGGGTTAACACAGGGGCAGATTAACAAATTTGCTGCCCCTAGGCCGTCAAAAAATTGCCGCCCC